ACTTGATCTAGTCTGATCTACATGATGACTTAGGTAAGACGGAGGTCGGATGTCGGAAGTCCGACTTCTTCACCTTTATGGCCGACTTCGCGATTCCTCCTGTCTCCGAGACTGTTCTCATCAATTCTTTTTCTCCAGCTAACTGCGTTTGCATCAAACGACTACTGGAGACTTCGCGCCAGAGGCCCGATCTGTCCGTTAGTCACTTTTTATCAAGCCTCGGACTTGCCGGCTAACGCGATTATCTCAACGTAGTTCAGGTTATCCTCGATCTAAGCTTGGTGCTGTCCTGATTCTCCTCTATGAAGAAGCAGGAGAGCTACGTGTGCTGCTGACAACGCGTTCGAAAACGTTACGGACGCACCCTGGGCAGACAGCACTGCCCGGAGGCAGGGTGGATGACACAGATGCGAGTTTTATCGAAACTGCTGTGAGTTTTCTAATTATATCCTTACGAAACTACTGTGAACGACCGTCAACCATGAATGCGCCAGTATCGTGAAGCTAACGAAGAAGTTGGTTTGCCACTAAACTCGCCAGATATCTTCACTGTTGCCGTGTTGGAACCGGCAATATCACTATACAAAATCGTAGTCACGCCCGTAGTTTCCATCCTCACGCGCCCTTCACTGCTAAAAGAATTGAAAGCAGAGGAGAGTGAAGTGTTCTGCATCTTCACACACCCCCTCCAAGCAGTTTTGGATCCTGCCCTCGCCATATCAGAACAATTAGTCGACATTGGATCCGAAAACTGGCCTTACGAAGTCGAACTCCACGTATGCCTTTTTTAGAAACGAAGGTTATTGATCCTCATAAAATCTGATATCTAGAGTACATCGGATTCCGCAGTGCCAGCTATAGGGAATATGATGTACCGAATGCACCGGTTCAGAAGTTCTGCCTCTCCAATCAAAGGATTGACGGCTGACCTGCTTGTATGTTTCTAGTCCACTCAGCGTCAATCTTCCACCTCATAACGTTGATCGCGCCTCTAGATTCAAACAGCAAAAATTGTTTACGGCCATGATCCGATATACCAGCAATACGCAGCGGGACAACTTCGGAAATTCGAGGAAATTAGTGCATTCGTTATCAAAGAACAACGGGCTTGATCAAGTCAAAGAGTTGACAGGATAAGATGTGCTCTGTACTTTATTTTTTTTTTTACAAAAGAACGAGAAAAGCGATCCAACACCTGTTAATCGCACCCGTTTCGGCGGTCGGTCGCCCCAGAGGACAGAGAAGCCTAGGGAAATCAAAACTGCTACGACGTCTACTTCAGTGTAACCTCGCTTTTTCCTTAAAGTGGAAAGTATCTTAGAGACTGTCATTCAATGGAGTCTAACAACCGGGAATATTTTCTTCGATCCTCGAACTCTGGTTGGTTGTCATCACCGGCGCGGTCCGCGTGAAAACAGCTCTGAGTCCTTGTGACTTGTGACACACTGTCCGAATATCATGTCCAAAACCGATGACTCGGAGTAGTTTATGTCGTACATACTTTGACCTGCTCGCGGTTGAGTCCGTCCGGTATTGGATCCGGAATTGCATCTTCACGATTCAGACTCCACCTATACCCACGAGTGTGTCCAATTTTTTCCCATCTACCGTCAAGATGATCTTTATTAATCTGACTGACTATCCTCTACTTGCATGGAATCTGTAGCGATTACAGTCCGTCAGCCAAATAGTCCACTCGTAATTGGTATTCGGCCATCATCGATGGTATATCTCGATATTCAGCCTTGCATGTCGACATTCCATTCAATCTGAAAATAGCAGTGTTCTCACGTCTGTTGATGGGTTCGTAATGAGGCAGTACAGAGATTTTTTCACTTTAGAAGGCGAGGTCAATGAGATTGGCC